CCTGGCTCCTTTCTTTTACCAGTTCCGCCTATGTGAAGATCAGTCAAAGGTCCTGCTCAACCATGGCTGGCTTCTCTTGGAAGCATGGAGGAAATGATTCCTCTGTGTTGACCCTCCTCTTTGTAGACTGGACGCTGGTTCAAGTCCATCTGGTGGGGCCTCCTCGGCCTCCTTGATCGAGGTGACCCACTACAATTACACATTTAGAGAGATGTTCATAGTCCCCTGGAACTAGTCGAGCTAGGAGGGCTAGGAGCAAAATGTGTCCTTTATGTCCCTCTGACCAAATTGGTATAGGCCTCAAAGTATGTGTGTTAAACATCCAAGAAGGTTAGTTCCACCAGTCTGGTACTGTTTTTTTGTTTTTTTTTTTATGCTTTGAATATTTTTTAATCATTTAAAAAATTTTTAATAACTACATGATTACAAGCATTTCACTAGAGCTTTAACATATTCAGTAGCACACTCCAGATCAAGAGTACATCTCTTTCACAAGTGGGTGCAAGTTTCTAGGTTCACAGTTGAGTTAATACAGTTATACAAAATTGAACTCAGTATAAGCCCTGTAAGACATAAAATTGAAATTTTAACCTTTAAAAAAGATCTCCATTTCATTTTAAAATATACTGTTTCTTACAGAAAGACTCATTGTTTTTGCTAATAATACTGAGATGTTGGCACATGCATTTCTAATTTGTATGTATCTGATTATTACTAGTGATAATCAGTTGCACTTGGACCTTGGTAGCCGTGTATGTCTATAAAGTCATCAGGTAGATTTCAACAGTAATGTTTATTACTTCTACTAATTAGCATGATGTAAATTTCCATGCTTCCTCCTCAAATATAATACATTAAAAAAAATTTGTTGATTTGTTTTTTTTTTTGGGGGGGTGTATATCACACAGAACATCCCAAACCATCTTATTCGACTATACACCCACTTCCCAGATGGCACCCTCCCATAGCCTCCCTAGCCCACTAGAGCACTTATACTCTGATATGCCTGCTACTGTCTGCTGTGTTGTCGGCACCCCCAGCCATTCCCCACTACTTGCCCTTCTCATGAGTCTAGTTAGCCTACCTAGAGGTCTTTGTTTTAGAAGGGTCAGCTATTCATTTAGCAGTAATCAGTTGTCTATATTCCTTTAGATAAGATTGGGATCTGCTGTTCATTTTCCCAGTTCTCTGCTGGGTGACTATCTGGGAGTCCCTTTGGCCACCCTGGCTATCAACTAAAAAGAAGGTATCACTTGTCTGGCATTGTTGCTTGTTATGTAGCCTTTAGCTATACATGTGAACTGGTGAGAAATTATGTTGGCCATACAGTTGGTCCAGATAAACCAATTTATTTTCACTCTTAAGGTTGTTTGAGGATCTGTTCCTCAGGGGTCGTATGGACTTGGGAGGAGCCCCTGGCTCCTTTTACCAGTTCTGCCTATGAGAAGATAAGTCAAAGGTCCTGCTCGACCATGGTTGGCTTCGCTTGGAAGCATGTAGGAAATGATTCCTCTGTGTTGACCCTCCTCTTTATATACTGGATACTGGTTCAAGTCCATCTGGTGGGGTCACCTCAGCCTCCTTGATCAAGAGGACAGGTGACCCACCACCATTATAGGACATTTTGAGAGATGCTCATAGTCTCCTGGAACTAGTCGACCTAGGAGGGCAAGGAGCAAAAACTGTCCTTTAGTCCCTCTGTCCAAATTATTATAGCCCTCAAACAAAGTATGGCTGTTAAACAACCAAGAAGTTTAGTTCCACCAGTCTGGTACTTTTTTAAAATATTTTATTTATTATTTTTATTTTATGTGCATGAGTATATTGCCTGCATGTAGGTAAGTGCATCCGTGCTGTGCA